TCCGTGTGTTCCCCTGTGTGTCCATGTGTGTCTGTGTTCCTGTGTGTGTCCATGTGTTCCCCTGCGTGTCCGTGTGTCCCCGTGTGTCCGTGTGTTCCCGTGTTTCCCTGTGTTCCCGTGTGTGTCCGTGTGTTCCCCTGTGTGTCCGTGTGTGTCCGTGTGTGTCCGTGTGTTGCCGTGTGTTCCCGTGTGTTCCCATGTGTTGCCGTGTTGCTGTGTGTTCCCGTGTGTTGCCGTGTCTTCCCGTGTGTCCGTGTGTTCCCGTGTGTCCCCGTGTGTTGCCGTGTGTTCCCGTGTGTCGCCGTATCTTGCCGTGTGTTCCCGTGTGTCCGTGTGTTCCCATGTGTTCCCATGTGTTCCCGTGTGTCCCCGTGTGTTCCCGTGTGTCCGTGTGTTCCCGTGTGTCCCCGTGTTTCCCTGTGTTCCCGTGTGTGTCCGTGTGTTCCCGTGTGTGTCCGTGTGTTTCCCTGTGTTCCCGTGTGTGTCCGTGTGTTCCCCTGTGTGTCCGTGTGTCCCGTGTGTCCGTGTGTTCCCGTGTGTCCCCATGTTCCCCTGTGTGTCCGTGTGTGTCCGTGTGTTCCCGTGTGTCACCGTGTGTCCCCGTGTGTTCCCATGTGTTGCCGTATTGCCGTGTGTTCCCGTTTGTTGCCGTGTGTTCCCGTGTGTCCCCGTATTTCCCTGTGTTCCCGTGTGTATCCGTGTGTTCCCGTGTGTCCCCGTGTGTTGCCATGTGTTCCCGTGTGTTGCCATGTGTTGCCGTGTGTTGCCGTGTGTCCCTGTGTGTTCGTGTGTTCCTGTGTTCCCCTGTGTTCCCGTGTGTGTCCGTGTGTTCCCCTGTGTGTCCTTGTGTCCCTGTGTGTCCGTGTGTTCCCGTGTGTCCCCGTGTTTCCCTGTGTTCTCGTGTGTGTCCGTGTGTTCCCCTGTGTGTCCGTGTGTGTCCGTGTGTTCCCGTGTGTCACCGTGTGTCCCCGTGTTTTCCCATGTGTTGCCGTGTTCCCGTGTGTTCCCGTGTGTTGCCGTGTGTTCCCGTGTGTCCGTGTGTTCCCGTGTCTCCCTGTGTGTTGCCGTGTGTTGCCGTGTGTTGCCGTGTGTTCCCGTGTGTACGTGTGTTCCTGTGTGTCCCTGTGTGTTGCCGTGTGTCCCCGTGTGTTCCCGTGTGTTCCCCTGTGTCCGTGTGTTCCCATGTGTCCGTGTGTTCCCGTGTGTCCTCCTGTGTTCCCGTGTGTTCCCCTGTGTTCCCGTGTGTCCGTATGTTGCCGTGTTGCCATGTGTTCCCGTGTGTCCGTGTGTTCCCGTGTGTCCCCGTGGGTTGCCGTGTGTTGCCGTGTGTTCCCGTGTGTCCGTGTGTTCCCGTGTGTCGTGTGTGTTGCCGTGTGTCCCCGTGTGTCGCCGTGTGTTGCCGTGTGCTCCCGTGTCCTTGTGTTCCCTTGTGTTCCCCTGTGTCTCCATGTGTGTCTGTGTTCCCATGTGTGTCCATGTGTTCCCCTGCGTGTCCGTGTGTCCCCGTGTGTCCGTGTGTTCCCGTGTTTCCCTGTGTTCCCGTGTGTGTCCGTGTGTTCCCCTGTGTGTCCGTGTGTTGCCGTGTGTTCCCGTGTGTCACTGTGTGTCCCCGTGTGTTCCCATGTGTTGCCGTGTTGCCGTGTGTTCCCGTGTGTTGCTGTGTCTTCCCGTGTGTCCGTGTGTCCCCGTGTGTCGCCATATGTTGCCGTGTGTTCCCGTGTGTCCGTGTGTTCCCGTGTGTTCCCATGTGTTCCCGTGTGTTCCCGTGTGTCCGTGTGTTCCCGTGTGTCCCCGTGTTTCCCTGAGTTCCCATGTGTTCCCGTGTGTTCCCGTGTGTCCCCGTGTGTTCCCCTGTGTGTCCGTGAGTCCAGTGTGTCCGTGTGTTCCCGTGTGTCACCGTGTTCCCGTGTGTTCCCCTATGTGTCTGTGTGTGTCCGTGTGTTCCCGTGTGTCACCGTGTGTCACTGTGTGTCCCCGTGTGTTCCCATGTGTTGCCGTATTGCCATGTGTTCCCGTGTGTTGCCGTGTGTTCCCGTGTGTCCATGTGTTCCCGTGTGTTGCTGTGTGTTGCCGTGTGTCCCCGTGTGTTGCCGTGTGTTGCCGTGTGTTCCCCTGTGTTCCCGTGTGTGTCCGTGTGTTCCCCTGTGTGTCCTTGTGTCCCCGTGTGTCTGTGTGTTCCCGTGTGTCCCCGTGTTTCCCTGTGTTCTCGTGTGTGTCTGTGTGTTCCCCTGTGTGTCCGTGTGTTGCCGTGTGTCACCGTGTGTCCCCGTGTGTTCCCGTGTGTCCGTGTGTTCCCGTGTGTCCCCGTGTTTCCCTGTGTTCCTGTGTGTGTCCGTGTGTTCCCGTGTGTGTCCGTGTGTTCCCGTGTGTCCGTGTGTTCCCGTGTGTTCCCGTGTGTTGCCGTGTGTTCCCGTGTGTCCGTGTGTTCCCCTGTGTTCCCGTGTGTCCCCCTCTGTTCCCGTGTGTCCGTGTGTTCCCGTGTGTCCGTGTGTTCCCCTGTGTTCCCATGTGTCCCCGTGTGTTCCCCTGTGTTCCCCTGTGTTGCCGTGTGTTGCCATGTGTTGCCGTGTGTTGCCGTGTGTTCTCGTGTGTCCGTGTGTTCCCGTGTGTTCGTGTGTTCCCGTGTGTCCCCGTGTTCCCGTGTGTGTCCGTGTGTTCCCCTGTGTGTCCGTGTGTGTCCGTGTGTCACCGTGTGTCACCGTGTATTCCCATGTCTTGCCGTGTTGCCGTGTGTTCCCGTGTGTCCGTGTATTCCCGTGTCTCCCAGTGTGTTCACGTGTGTTCCCGTGGGTTGCCATGTGTTGCCGTGTGTTCCCGTGTGTTGCCATGTGTTGCCGTGTGTTGCTGTGTGTCCCCGTGTGTCGCCGTATGTTCCCGTGTGTCCGTGTGTTCCCGTGTGTTCCCCTGTGATCTCGAGTGTTCCCGTGTGTCCCCGTGTTTCCCTGTGTTCCCGTGTGTTCCCGTCTGTGTCCGTGTGTTTCCCTGTGTTCCCGTGTGTGTCCGTGTGTTCCCCTGTGTGTCCGTGAGTCCTGTGTGTCCGTGTGTTCCCGTGTGTCCCCGTGTGTTCCCCTGTGTGTCCGTGTGTGCCCGTGTGTTCCCGTGTGTCACCGTGTGTCAATGTGTGTCCCCGTGTGTTCCCATGTGTTGCCATATTGCCGTGTGTTCCCGTGTGTTGCCGTGTGTTCCTGTGTGTCCGTGTGTTCCCGTGTGCCCCCGTGTGTTGCCGTGTGTTCACGTGTGTTGCCGTGTGTCCCCGTGTGTTGCCGTGTGTTTCCGTGTGTTGCCATGTGTTGCCGTGTGTTGCCGTGTGTCCCTGTGTGTCCGTGTGTTCCCGTGTGTCCGTGTGTTCCCGTGTGTCCCCGTGGGTTGCCGTGTGTTCCCGTGTGTCCATGTGTCCCCGTTTGTCCGTGTGTTTCCGTGTGTCCGTGTGTTCCCCTGTGTTCCCGTGTGTCCCCCTGTGTTCCCGTGTGTCCATGTGTTCCCGTGTGTTCCTGTGTGTCCCCCTGTTTCCCTGTGTTCTCGTGTGTGTCCGTGTGTTCCCCTGTGTGTCCGTGTGTTCCCGTGTGTCACCGTGTGTTCCCATGTGTTGCCGTGTTCCCGTGTGTTCCCGTGTCTCCCTGTGTGTTGCCGTGTGTTGCCATGTGTACGTGTGTTGCCGTGTGTCCCTGTGTGTTGCCGTGTGTTCCCGTGTGTCCCCGCGTGTTCCTCTGTGTTCCCGTGTGTTCCCCGGTGTCCATGTGTTCCCGTGTGTCCCCGTGTGTTGCCGTGTGTTGCCATGTGTTGACGTGTGTTGCCGTGTGTTGCCGTGTGTTCCCGTGTGTCCGTGTGTTCCCGTGTGTTCCCGTGTGTCCGTGTGTTCCCGTGTGTCCGTGTGTGTCCGTGTGTTCCCGTGTGTCTGTGTGTTCCTGTGTGTTCCCGTGTGTCCGTGTGTTCCCGTGTGTCCCCGTGTGTCCGTGTGTTCCCGTGTGTTCCCGTGTTTCCTTGTGTTCCCGTGTGTTGCCGTGTGTCCGTGTGTTCCCGTGTGTCCGTGTGTTTCCGTGTGTTGCCGTGTCCGTGTGTTCCTGTATGTTGCCGTGTGTTCCCGTGTGTCCGTGTGTTCCCGTGTGTCCGTGTGTTTCCGTGTGTTCCCGTGTGTCCGTGTGTTCCCGTGTGTCCCTGTGTTCCCGTGTGTTCCCGTGTGTTCCCGTGTGTCCGTGTGTTCCCGTGTGTTCCCGTGTGTCCCTGTGTTCCCGTGTGTCCGTGTGTTCCCGTGTTCTCGTGTGTCCGTGTGTTCCCGTGTGTCCCTGTGTTCCCCTGTGTTCCTGTGTGTTCCCGTGTGTCCCTGTGTTCCCCTGTGTTCCCGTGTGTCCCCGTGTGTTCCTCTGTGTTCCCGTGTGTTCCCCTGTGTCCGTGTGTTCCCATGTGTCCGTGTGTTCCCGTGTGTTCCCATGTGTTCCCCTGTGTTCCCATGTGTCCGTGTGTTCCCGTGTGTCCCCGTGTTTCCCTGTGTTCCCGTGTGTGTCCGTGTGTTCCCCAGTGTGTCCGTGTGTTCCCGTGTGTCCTCCTGTGTTCCCGTGTGTTCCCCTGTGTTCCCGTGTGTCCGTATGTTGCCGTGTTGCCGTGTCTTCCCGTGTGTCCGTGTGTTCCCGTGTGTCGTGTGTGTTGCCGTGTGTTGCCGTGTGTTGCCGTGTGTTCCCGTGTGTCCCTGTGTTCCCCTGTGTTCCCGTGTGTTCCCGTGTGTTCCCGTGTGTCCCTGTGTTCCCCTGTGTTCCCGTGTGTTCCCGTGTGTCCCTGTGTTCCCGTGTGTCCCTGTGTTCCCCTGTGTTCCCGTGTGTGTCCGTGCGCTCTCCCGTGTCGCTCCGCGCTCGCTGAGCGCTCGCGGCTCTCTCGCGGCGCACGCACTGCGCTCACGCCTCTGCGCATGTCCGCGCACGTGAGCGCTCGCGTGTCCAGGTTTGCTGTCGCGTGCGCCAGTGTTTTGCGCGCGAGGGGCCGCGCATGCGCGGTGCGGCGGCCGCGCCCGTTCCGCGCCGGACGTGGCAGCGGCGGGAGCGATGCGGGCGGTGCCGCCGGGGCCGGGGCCGGGGCCGGGGCTGTGGCTGGTGTTGACGGGTGCGCTGGTGGCGGGCAGCGGCTCGGAGCACCCCCGGCTGCGCCAGACCGTGCTGCGGGACCTGGCCCGCGGCAAGGTGGAGGTGAGCGCGGGCGGGGAGCGCGGGGCGCGCCGGGCGGAGCCGGTGCCCGCTGGTGCGTGACGCGTGTCCTCTCCCGCAGAGCTGCGGCGGGTGACGGCTGAACCGCCTCAGGGAGGTACGTGCTGGGGCCGGGGCGGGGCGGGGGGTCGGGGCTTCCCAACGCTCAGCCAGGCCCGACCGGCCGCTCTCCGCAGGTGAAGGCGTTCGTCACCCAGGACATCCCGTTGTAGTACCCGCCGGCAGCGGCTGCAGCGCTGGGGTCTCAGTGGGACGGGACGGGACTGGATGGGATGGGATGGGATGGGTGGGCAACGAGATGGGATCGGTGAGGGACAGGATGCAAAGGAATGAAGCATGGGAGTGGATGGGCTGAGGGAGGATGGGGCTTTTTGAGGAATGAAGGACAGTGTTTGGTGAGGAGTGGAGAATGGGTAGTTGGGGAATGTAATGAAGGATAGGATGATATGCAATGAAGGATGGGATGGAGGACAGAACAGATGGGATGGAAGGCAGTGGGATATGAGAGAAGATGGGCTGGGATGGAGGATGGTACAGGATAGACAGGAATGGGATATGACGGAGGACAGAAGGGGATATGATGAAGGATGGGATGGGATGGGATAAGGGTTACATGGGCTTATCAGTGCTGCCCAGTCCTTGACACATTGCCCAGCCATAACCTGGAGATGAAACACCTGCCTGGTGCTGACCCTGAGCTTGTGCTCCTCAGCCTCCGGTATGAAGAGTTAGAGGTGAGTGGGCAGTGTGGCACCTGCTGCCACAGGGCCTGGGGTGGTTAGTGCCCCACAGGTGCCAGTCTACAGCCCCTGTCTGGGTGCAGAGAATTCCCCTGAGCGACATGACCCGGGAAGAGATCAACCAGCTGGTGCAGGAGTTGGGCTTCTACCGCAAGGAGACACCTGATGCCCCTGTGCCAGAGGAGTTCCAGTTTGCCCCTGCCAAGTCTCTGCCAATACTGCTGCATCCCCAAGCACCCACTGCTGATGTCAAGACCCCACCCAAATATGACAAGGAAGAACACCCAGACCTCTAGCAAGGAGTGCCACCCTTAGGACAGGGTCCTGCAGCCAGTCCCCAGTGTAGGGAATAAGGGCGTTATGGCAGCTGGACATGATGTCACAGGGTGGCAAAGTTTTCTCCCCTCAGTCTTGTTTGTGTACTGGTTGATGCCCTCCTGTCCTTGGAGCCCATTATCCTTGGCCAGTCAGAAGGAGGAGCATTCCTTCAATCTCTTGCTGTGCATAGACTGGGCAGCAGTATCCTGCCTGCATGGGACAGGATGAAACCCTCAGCAGAAAGTGCCAGGTGCTAAGGGTAGATGTGCTGAGTCCCAAAGGTGGGAGAGCTGCCCCAAAAAGGGGGCTTTACCCTCCCCAGCAGGGTTTATGTCATATCCAGCTCCTAGTAAAGCTTTTATTTTGCAGTCATCTGCACTGTGTCATCTTTTCAGAGGGAGCTCGGTGGTGTACATCCCAAACTGCTCTGTTCCAAGCACAGCTGGGTCCCCAGAGTTTCTCACAGAAGCAGGAGAGGATGGCACAATCATAGTCATTGCTGGTGAGCCACATACCAACCTATAGACCAACTGTGCTGTTCCTGTGCCACCCCTCCCCAGCATGATAGAGGGGCGAGGGTGGTGGGCACCATAGCATGGATGAGCTGTTCTCACAGAGTGCAGGAGGATGGGCATGAGCCCACGAGTGAGTCCTGCAGTGTTGAACCAAAGCCCCATGGCTGCACTGGCCCAGTGGGGACATGTGGCCCTCAGCTAGGGAAGGCAGTGGGGCAGAGCTGCACTTGACTACAGCCTTGCTGGCCACGTGGGATCTTTGCTCTGTGCCAGGCCTGGGACAACAGGGGGCAGTGAACCCTGGTCAGGGTGGCTCAGCTATGGACATCATCAATGACGTGAGGAGCAGTACATGCCCCAGTGTCCCTCCAGGCTGGGTAAACAGTTGTGTTGCAGGGAGCCTGCAGCAGCTGGACTGCCAGGGTTCTCCAAGCACTGTGGTGTGCAATATGCTACTGGCAGAAGGACCTGAGCCAGAGGCATTGCCCTAGATTAACCTTTATTATCTGGCTGGTGTTGGTATATGTCAGCGCGGGTGTAGAGATGTGACAGAGGGGCGAGTAGCGCTGAGCACATGGGTGGCCTGAGCTGGAGGAGAGTGGGGGCAGTTGTCCCAGCTTGGTCCGTTCACCTTGCACTCCCCTGGGACCCCTTGTGCTACCCCCCTCCCCAGCCCACAGGTGCCCCTAATGTGGTAGTGCCTCAGATGCACGTGGAGGTGGGAAGCAGGGAGTTGGCATGGTTGTAGAGCTGTCCCCAGGGAGGTGACACCAAGCAGGGCCTGCAGTGGGCAGAGAGGCTTCCTTGCAAGGGGCCAAGGGAACCACTGAGGCGCTGCCTGCAGGATGTACCCGTGATCCTGGCTGGACTGCACAGCCCTGCTCAGTCACAGACCCGTGACGTGGCCCCACAGCTGTGCCTGTGCCACCTCAGGGACACAGGGATGGTACCTGCAGGGCAATTAATTCCTGGAGAACAAATAACTTAAAAGGCTGGATCAAGGGGGGCAAGCCAAGGTGGGAGCATCCCCAGCAGTGCCCACCTGGCTCTGCCCACAGCTGGTCAAGACAGAAGCAGCTCTGCCAAGGCAGATGTGTGGGGGTGGCCTGGTGGAAGAGTTCTCATGTCCCCAGTGCCAGACCCATGGCCCCCCAGACCCTCCCAGGCAAGCAGCTCCCTTGCCCGCAGGCAGCTGTGGGGCGAGGGCAGCAGTGGGGGTGGGAAAGGCAGGCTCTAGCACTCTTTCTGCCGCATGCGCAACTCGTGGCGACGCAGGTGGTTATAGAGGGACTGCACGTAGGTGAAGACGCACTTGGCGTCAGGCTTCTTGCCCATGATCATCATGTCTTCAACCTCCACCAGCGGCACGCAGTCCACCAGCGTCCTGCAGAGATGAAGCCTTCAGCATGGCCTCAAGCAGGCTACCCCATGTGGGGGCTGGAATGGGCACCCCACACTGCCCAGGGCCTGCTGGCGTGGGCACTGCTGCCCTCAGACCTGCTGAGCTCCTTTCACACACCGCCCACCCCACCCTGGTACCCACAGCCCTTCTGCTCCTGACACAGGAGTATGTGCTGTCTGCCCTGGGAGGTGCCTGCCCCAGGGCAGGGGTTGCCTAGCTGTCTGCACCCCTGGCTCTTCAGACGCTCTCCATCCCACTTCTTGGTGCTGGCAGTCATTCCCTCCTAAAACTGTGCCCACCCTCCTCCTCTTGCTCTTCCAGTTGATGCTCATGGTCTCTAGGGAAAGCCCAGCCTGGCTGCAGGTGTCTGCTGTGCCCCTGCTTCAAACCCTACCAAGTGGTTCAGGGAAAGCAGGGGGCGGGTCTTGGTTTTGTGCTGCCCCTTACTCCTGCCTCAAACTCTGGCCCTGCTCTTTTGCCTTCCTCAAATTCCTGCCAACCTGGCTTCCTCCCTTGTCCTGGACTAGAGCATAGGGCCTACCTGCACCAGGCCCAGCACACCCTACTGCTGGAGTAGGCACTGCCCTGCCTCAGCTCACTCAGCTTGGCCTATCTTCTCCTCTCCCTGCCCCACCAGAGTGCAGGGGTCCATGCAGGACCCAGCTCCAGGAGCTACCAGCCTTGTGGCACCCTGGCAGATTAGCTGTGGTTGTGTCCCCATCCCCATAGTAGTCTTGGGGCTCTGCTGCTGAACTTTTGGTGGGGCAGCCCACTCTGCCTTGCCACCTATCCAGTTCCCTGGGCCATATTCCTCCCCAAGCTGGGGCTCCCTGGGCATTTGAAGGGACTGACAACATGATTAGGAGTCATGATGACAAGGAGGAAGGATATGGAGGGGATCTGGTCACCTCTTGTCCTCTCCTTTCTACTGGGAGAGAAGGGGTGGGGGGCACAGAAGCAACCCTACCACTGTAGCCAATCTTCCTGGCCCTGCCCAGGCTTTGCACCCCTACCTGGTACTGTTCCCTCTTCAGGCTGCTGCTGCAGCTGGAGCAAGGGCTGCATTGGCACTAGGAGCAGTGCTGACACAAACTGGCAGCACGTGCTGCTGCCATGGCCAGTTCAGGTGCTTTGGCCCCGGCTGCTCAAGGTTCTGCCCCAAGGATCTGGATGCACAAGCAGGATCTCCCAAGGCAAGGCTCTGCCCCCAAAGACAGGGTACACCAGGAGGGTCTGAACCCTATGTTTGCCACCCACCACAACACCACCCTCAAGCCCCATGCCCTGTACCTCCCCTGTCCCCTCCTGCAATAGCCGCAGTGCACATGTTGGCCCCCTAGAACAGCCCCACCTCAAGGAGTGACTCCAGCCAGTTCCAGCCCCTGGGGAGCACCAGGGCCCAGGAGAGGCCCCCACTCTGGGTCCCATAGCCCCAGCCATTGCATTAGGTCTCTGCTGCCTGCTCCGTGGGCTCCAAGCCCACAGCTTGGCTGGCACCAGCCCCACCTCATGATTTGGCCACTGTGGGGATGGTGGGGAATGATGCTTGGGGCCTTGGGAAAGCCCTTGCCACTGCCAGCCTGGCTCGGGGGGTAGTTGCGGAGCAATGGCAGTGCACACAGAGTGACTCTGCCCTTATAAAGCCATTGTTTGGGCCCTGGTGTGCCAGCACTGTGCAGAGCCAGGGGAGCCACAGCTCTAGCACCAGCCAGGATGTCCTGAGACAGGCACAAACACTGCAAGATGAGGCAGGACCTGAACCTTGAGTCACACTTTCCATGCTCCTGCTTCTGCCCATATATGAGCAGGCAGCATCTTGGAGCTGGGCATGCACCCTGGGGCAGGGCAATGAGGCAAGTGGAAGCAGTGATGCTACAGCATCCTGGGGGCCGCCCACACTCAGGCAGCACCATTCAGAACACCTTGAGTGGCATCCCCAGCAGCTGACCCCTGGGTCAGACTCAGCCATGGGGGCAGGGCTCTGTTCTAACTACTGCCCTCCCCACAGCTGGAGAGCAAACAGCGCTCCAGGGTGACATAGTCCCCCTGCCCAAACCCCCAGAGGTGCTATTCCAGAAGGCTGGAGCCCAGCCAGCTGTCTGTGCCTATCTTCTGCTGGGTCTTGTCTGGCACCGCCAGGACTTGCCCCTCACCCATCAGCATCCCCCAGCCTCTTCCACAGCTGAGGCAGTCAGTTCCCTACCGAGCCCTGGTGGTGGTGGGCACATGGGCAGGTACTTGGAGGGGAAGGTTCTCACCATTGGTCCTGGGGGGGGCTGACAAGGGGCTACGACTTTTTGGTTTTTACCAGCCCCTTCTGGACCAGGCAGCGATAGAATTCCTGAATGTATGTGTACACACACTTCCAATCTGGCTCGCGCATCCGGACCATGTCCTCCACGTCCAGCAACTGTGGACAGTCCGCGTGCTTCCTGGGTGCAGGGAGAGAGAGGGGCAAGCCAGTGACCGCAGCCCAGTCAGGGAGGGGAGGAAGAGAAAACAAGAGAGACACAGATCAGTGCAGTTCCCATCCCACTGGCAGCTGCTCCGCTCTGGCATGCTCTGGGGATGCACAAATGCAGGGGCAGGAGGGCTCCAGGCACCCCATGCCAAGGCCATTCAGTGAAACTGGGGGGCACAAGCAAGGGGGAGAGGGGCATGTGAGTGGCGTGGAGAGGCGTGAAGTTCAGAGGGAAAGACAGACGGAAGAGGGGGAGGAGTAGGAGGACGAGTGAGGTGTTCTGGTGTGCCAGGTGCTCGGGGAGCGGGTTCCAGAGTGGAGCGGCGCTCTATACAGCTCCTATATAGACCCGCTGGGAGGAGGGGGTGGGGCCAAGCCCAGCCCTCCTGCCCAGCTCCACTTGGAACCACACGGCACAGCCCTGGTGCAGGAAGCTCAGGAAAGGACGCTCACAAGAGCTGCTGGAGGAGGAAGGACGAGAGGCCACCTGGCTTCCAGGCCGGAGAGATCGATGGCTCTCTCAAGTCCACACACCAGTTTCCCAATTAAGGCAAAAAATCCATTAACAGGAGTGCCAAGACCCAGGCCCACAGCCCATTTCTCGCTCCACGAAACAGCACCATGGCACCCTGGGAGCTTGTGGGAGTCCCCATCTCACCCTGCCACCTTGGACATCAGCAGGATGGAACCTCCACACCCAGCCCTGCCCCCTGGCAGGGTGCTGGAGGAGAAGAGTGGGTGGGTGGGAGAGAGACAGAAAGAAAGAGAGAGGGGCTGTCTGCCAGCCCTCCAGCTAGGCGCACTCCCACCTCTCAGCACCCAGGAAAACCAGAAGCAAAAGTGGAAGGGAAGAGACTGGAGAAGGTGCAATGGTGTTTGAGCCCCTACAACTGTGAAAGGAGGAACCTGGCATAGGCAAACCCTCTCCCCCCACAGGCTGCAGTCCCACACCTGGTACCCCAGGATGGAAAGTACTGCCTGAAGCCAGGTGGGCTCATGGGACTGCTGCTCTGCCTGTGGGTGCTTTGCCCCACATCCAGGAACCCAGACCCCCATACCTACCCTTGCCACACCAGACTGGGATACACTGGCCTCTTGTGACTCTACCCATACAGCTGCTGTTTGCCCCCACAGCACCTAACCTTGTAGCATTGCATGGGGGAATGACACCTACAGGCACCCACCTTCAGCACCATCACCTCCATGTGTCCCCCCTCAGCCCAGCAGCGAGCAGGAGAGCCACCCCAAGCTGCTCCAAGCCATCCCAAGTCCATATGATGGCAAGAGAGGTACGTACTCTGCAGAAGAGAAGGCCACCTCGAAGTTTTGGCGGCGGTTCTGAGGCGTCAGCTTACTGTAGTCAAATGCATCAGGGAAGAAATTGTGGACCAAGGCACAGAAGGCCATGCCATCACTCCAGCTGGATGAGAAGTTCTGGATGTCCACGTGCTGAGAGAGCAACAAAGTTACCAAGGGCCAGAGTGACTGGCCTTGGGACAGGAAGAGGATGTGGCACCCACCTCATAGCCCCGGGTCTTGGCTCTGCACCAGTCCAGCAACATCTGCTTGATACTGTTGGCATTAGGCACGCCAAAGCTGGAGGAGCGCTGCACGGCAGTCTGTGGTGCTGCAGGGTTTGAACTGTGGCAGGAGACATGGGGTGTTATCCATAGCTCCAGGGTGTTGTTATTTGTGCAGGAGTTACTGGCCTGGCCAGCCTGCCCTAGGCCCAGCCTCACCTCCCACCCTCCTTCTGCAGCTTCTCCATCATAGCTTTGCGTGCCTGTGAGGCCGATGTTTTGGGCAGACTCTGAGCCTTCATCAGTTCCTTCTTCTTCTCTGCCTGACGCCGCTCCAGTGCGGCCAGGCTGCTCTGCCGAGAAGCACTCTCATCTTCACGGTCAAAAATGCTGGGAGAGAGACAGGCAATGCTAAAGGGGTTGTGGGCAGCCCAGAGGAGGGCAAGCCGTGGTCTCAGCCCATAGCCAGCCCTGGAGCTCTGGAGACCTCCATGTCCCTGGGATAGAAGAGAGGTGGCTCTTAAGGTCCTTAGCTGGCAGACGTATCTCTGTGGCCAAGGAAGGACCCATGAGAACCTCTGAACACAATGGATGTACCTCAAGGAGCAGCAGGCTTTGGGGTCACATTTGCGTGGGGACACTGCAAGCTGGGTTGAGGGTTTGTGCAAGCAGATGAGGGACAGGGACCATGTGGGGCTTTCCTCACAGGCACATCTGCTCACCTGCCTGTCTTTTTGGATGAGGAGCTGTAGGATGATTTGGTTTGAACAAAAGTCCTGTTGCCATCTGCAGAGAGAAAGGAAGGAAAGAGGCCCTGGGCAGGAGCTGAGGGCAGTTGTGCCAGGAAGGCAGAACTCTGCCTGCACCAGGGCAGTGACAGTTCAGCAGCAGCGATGCCCCAGGGTTACACCCTGAGGATTCTAGGGGGAAAGGGCAAGAAAAACTCTTACTGTCTGATCTCTTCACATAACTTGACTCCATGGTTGTAGTACGAGAGGTCTTGGTGCCATCACCTGCAGGGACAAAGCAACAGGAACCACTAGGCTGGAAGGAGCAGTACCTACAGACATCTGCTGCTGCCAAGCACATTCACACCCACGCTGTGCAACAGAGAAATGTCCCAGGTGGTAGAAACATGGACATGGCAGGCAGAGGGAGGACAGAGGGCATGTGCCCCCCAGGCAGAGAACAAAGAGGCAAGTGCAAAGCAGCAGGGAGCTGGGACATCTCTCAGCCCCTGCAGCCACTCAGCTTGAGCCATCCAGGAACTGGGAGAGCAGGGATATAGGAGACAAGATACAGGGTGAAGGTGCAGATGAGGCCCTGCCACCCTGACAGGGTTGGGGATTCAGAGGGAAGTGACTAGAGCAGAACCCTTAATTATCCCCAGCCAGGCTCTGGACAAGCCAGAGACTCAGCTCTGAAAAACTGTCCTGCTCCCAGGACAGTCTAGCCAGACTCAGGACAAGCAGTGAATGGCAAAGGAGCTGTGGGGGAGGAGCACTGGGAAGGATTCTGCAAAGCCCCAAAAGGGCTGGCACACCACCCCCTCCCCACCCAGCCCAGCCCATACTAGACTGGACAAGACGCTCAGTCTTGGTGACAGTGCTGCATGCCGAGCCATCGGCTGACTGAGTGCTCTGCGTGGTGGTGGTCTCTGTGGCATGGCCAGCCCTTCCTGTCACAGATTGGCTTCTAGCCTCCTGCAGCCGCTGGTCCCGCTCCTTCTCCCGCTGGTCTGCAAACACAAGTATCATCAGGGAAGTGAGGTGGGCCCCATGGGTCCTGCCGCAGCAGGGGTCCTGCAGCTGCTGCTGGCCCATAACTGGTTTGTGGGAAGGATGATGTCTTTGGCCTTGCAAAGCCAGGGGGGCAATAGAGGAACCAGCACACACCCTCCTACTGCTTCTCCGCAGCTGGACAGCCACATTTCAATGCCCTATATTGCCACCAACACCTCTCTGACCCCAGCAGAGATCACCATCCCTGAGTACCTCGCTTGCGCTGGCGCAGCTCCCGCATGGCATTTCGAATCAGCCGTCGCTCCTCAAAGTCTGTTGTCCGATCCAACTGCAGGAGGTGAAGTCATCATTAGTCTTCTGCCATCAACTTGAGGTCTCTTTACCTTCTGCAGGAGCCCGAACCAGAGAAAGAAGTACCATCTTATCCAGAACATCCTCATCCTCAATCTTGCTCAGCTCCTCGACATTCAGCTTGCTCCTTCTCTCCACCTCCCTCACTTGCACCTTCTCCATCCCGTTGGGCAGCTCTGGTTCTCGCCTTGGTGCCTGCTGCTGCTCCACCATCTCTGGCTCCATCTGCAAGGACATCACTGCGGCTGAGACCCCCTGCCAGCTTGGCCATGCCCCCACCTCTTTGCAGGGTCCAGGCCCAGACATCACCCTGACACCTGCCCAGTGCTACAGGCAGTGAGAACCCTGGAGAGGATGGTGGTGCCACATGGGGCATAAGTGCTCTCAGCTGGTGGGATGCCACAAGCATCTGCAGCGCCCAAGGCAGGCAGGGGAACATAACAATCTGCAGCACCCCATGCCCCAGGAAGGTCCAGCAGTCCCTCTCTTCCTTTCAGTCTGGCTGCCATAATATCTCTAGATCCTCCCTGCTCCCTGGTAGAAGGCAGCTGGGTCCCCCAGCAGGCAGGAGTTGCCCAGGGCTTTGGACTGGCAGTGGCTGTTACCCAGCAGTGAGCAAGGTGCTGGCAAGGCCAGTGCACACCATTAGAGCACAGGGATTTCCATGGAATTAAGGGACTTAGTGTAGAGAAGAGCTTGTACAAGAGATCAAGAGCCTTCCTCCACATCCCTGCCAGGATCTAGGCCAGTTCGGCCCAAGCACAGTCAGGATGCCAAATCCCTTTCAGCACAACCCCCCAGCAATGCATAGCAGGCAGTGGGCCAGGCCCAGAATAGGGCAGAGAGGCACCAGGGATGACAGAGCGGGGCCAGAGGAGCCATGCACACACCTGGCCCCATCCTGCATCCTCTGACATGGTAAACTGATCCATGGCAAAGCCACAGCAGGAGTTGACACTGGCTACATGCGCCCATCCACCACCTGTGCCTGATGCTGTGGTGGGGCAAGACTACTGCCTGTGGCCTCCCACCTGGCACACTGGGAATGCGAAACAGGTGGGTGCACAGCCCCGCCACAGTGAGCCCAAGGAGTGGCAGATCCCCACAGTGCCATGTCCCTGTGCACCACTGTCACAGTCATGCCTTGTGCCAGGGCTACAGATACCCCCAAGAGCCCTGGGGGCTGGTGACCCCCTCCCTTCCCCCAGTCATGGAGCAGGGCTGCCCACACTCACGCTGCTGTTGCTTCGAGAGAGATGCAGGATCGACTGCTGGCGCGTACTGGAGAAAGTGGGTGGATGGGCCACAGGGTCACTGGGCTCCTCAGTGCCCTCTAAGTGGGTGCAAGGGTCCTGTGCTTCCAGAAAGAGGGTGCTGATGTCCTCCCTGGGGGGTGCCTGCAGCCCTGGCGCCAGCAGATCGAGATGGCGGCCCAGGCGCCCCAGCTCTGCCCGCAACTCCAGGTGCTCCTGTTCCAATGTCTGCAGTGCCGGCACCAGCGCCTGCACTTGCTGCAGAGCCCGCTCCAGTTGCCCCTCTGCTGCCTCCCGGAATGCCACCAGCTCCTGCCGCAGCTCTGCCAGCTCAGCCACCCTAGTCTGCGCCAGCCCCTCCAAGCTGAGCCCTGGCATGGTGGCAATGCAGGCGCTGTGGTGAGCCCTGCTCATCTGTCCTGCTGCCCTTTATAGGGGCCCAGGCACCCCCCCCCCGGCTGGAGGCTGGCCCGCTCCCTGCCTGTGGGCTATTCTGGTCCCAGCAGCCGGGGGTCCCGTGCAGGGGTGCTGAGCCAGGCGCCAGACTTGGCAGCACATTCGGCTATGGGACCAGGTGGCTCAGCAAGGGGAGTCCTGCAAGTGGCCCCCCCACCCCTGAAGGCTTCTAGGGCCAGATACCAGCCTGGGGGCTGTAGGACAAAGTGGTGGGGACCAGCCCTGACCACTGCAGCGCTGGGTGAATGAAAAAGCCAACCACTGCTGTGTTCTTCTGTCCAAGTGCCTTCCCACTCTGGGCCAGCATCACCCACAACACAACATCTCCAGCCCCAGGCTGGCATTGGTACAAAGGCCTTGGTCACAGCTTGGATTTTAGGTCTTCATACCCCTGTGCTCCCCAATGCCTGCCCCAGGGGGAGCAGGTCCCTGCATAGGTACAGGCAGCACCCCACCAATGAGAAGACATGCCGCTGCGGCTGCTGCCTGCAGGTCCCTACAGCCTGCTGGTCCTCCAACCAAGCCCTACCTGGCAGGGCTGCCAGCACCACTGCCTCATCCTCCTCCTCCTCACTGCTAACCAGGAGCATAGCTGGAGGTTGCATCCCCTGCCAGGCAGCCAGCAGGTCTCAGGTCCCCCACCTCACCAGACAGACCCACTAATACTTTAATAAGAGCTGACAAGTGCTCAGGCCAAGCAGGCCCAAGCACATTAGCACAGGGAAGTCACCCCACCGCAGCCAGCTGCTTACAGGCAGGACCTGCTGGCAGGTGTGGGCAGCACCTGTGGGCACTGCTTTGCCTCATGCTGGTGAGGGCTGGGCTGAGGATGGGATGAAGCCAGTGGTACCACAGCAACCAGTATGCCCCAGGCCACAGGTGGTACCACAGCTACTGGCAGTGACACAGGCCTCCCACAGTGCTATTCCTGCAGAGGCAGCCAGGCGTGCACAGGGCCATGAGTGAAACAGAGCCACGTTTGACATCCTGGCTCCTGCCAAGGCGGCACACGGGCGCCTTGCATTACCCTAGATGGGCAGGAGCAGATTAAAGCACTTGAAAGGCTGTCTCCTGTATGCACCCAGCCCAGGATGGCCACAGCCTGCTCTCCCCGCAAAGACACTGCAGAGGGTTTTTTTTTCAGGTTTTTTTCTCCAGTTGCACCCAAGAATCCCTCCTAAGCAGGCTTGGGCTTTGGGCACTCTCCACTCAGGATGGCATAGCAGAAACATGAAAGACCCCAACTCACAGCTCCAGGGTGCTTTAGACACCTTTGAGGAGTAGCCCCCCTCCAAGGCAGGCTCCCCAGATACATGGCCAAGGTCCATCCCCACAAGGAAAAACAGAGGGGGGGTGGTTGGCAATGGGTTTTTCCCTGAGTTGCTGCCACCCTTAAAGGTGTTTAAAACAAAGGGAGACCCACTAATATTCCTTGTCCCCATCTGCCCACCTCCCCAAGTGTCTGAGTACATGGTGGCACAGTCCAGAGTGCAGGAGGCTCACTTGGGGCTGTGCAACCACACACAAAGTCCAGGGTCTCTTGATGAAAAAAACCCTATCAAAAGCACCAACCAAAACAAGACAGAGCCTCTGGAGCATGCTGCCTACACTAATTCCTTGGTCCCTGCTCCCCACCCCAAGCCCTTGGAGCTGCCAGGCAATGGCCAGGTGGGACACAGCCCCACAGACCCCCTGAGCACTCACCTTGGTGACATTGCTGCTGACACTGCTGATGTTGCAGATGCTGCTGACGCTGCTAGGGACGGTGGTGATACGGATGGGGGTGCTCCGCAGATCCAGAGTCACCTCTGCAAGGGGAGCAAGAGGCATGTAGGGTCTGATCCAGCCCACAGGCTCAGCCCCACAGCTGGGGAGTGGCTCTGGCTGGGCTATCTGCCTCCCCCACACATCCTGCCCTGGCAGTGAGCACTGAACTGTGGCACAGGGAAAGGTGCTTTGGGGCAAGCAAGAGACCCCTCACTGCCCTGGCTTATCATCCTCCCCAAGGAAGGGCACTTTTTGCAGTGTTTCAGCTGGAGCCAAGACCCCCCAGTGAGAGGGATGGCCACAGGAACATCCCGAGCCAGCCACATCTGCGGGCAAGCAGGGCTGGGGCTGGGCTGGAACAGACATGGTGCAGCAGTGGGATGGGACAGAGCAGGATGGCGTGGGCTCCCCTGAACCAGCAGGTCAGCGGGGAGAGCATGGGGTAGGGCAGGGATTGAAGAATGACCACAAACATAAACACAGTAAGACATTGGAGCTGGGGACAGGCTGCAGGGCCAGATGATCTCCCCGAACTTAGATGCCCCAAGCAGGATAAGAGTGTATGCCAAAGGATGAGGGCTACCACGCATGCTTTGTTCTTCTGGCAGCACTCAAATGTCCCTGCTGCCGATCAGCACCCAACTGGCCTGGCTCAGCCTGCCTGCCTTCACCTACCCATTTGTGCCCACCAAATGTCAGTGCCCGACAGCCTACTGGCACCCACCTGCTCCACTGCCCAGCTGTGCGCATTGTCGTATTAGGAGCACAGTCCTGTAGGGCTTACAGCCCGGTGGATGTCCACTCCCCTGTGGTGCTCACCTTCCTGAGAGATCCACACCTTTCCCAGTCCCACCTCCCTGCATGAGGCCCATGCCCATCACCCCTACAGTGTGAAGCCTCATGACAGATGCCACCTGTCCTGCACACCCCGTACCCCATCAGTGCCCACCTGCCCGCTGGCTGCCAGGGGTGGCCGTGATGCGGGGCGCCAGGGGCTGCGCGCGCCCATCCTTGATCTCGATGGTGAAGAAGGTCTTCATGGCGTCGAGGCGGGAGCCGACGGGGCGCGGGGCCGGACGCTGCTCTGCGCCGCCGCTGCCCCGCGCGTTTTGAGCGGGCGGCGGCGGGGCCGTGCGGGGCCCCCGTTGCCATTGGGCGGCCCCGGCCCCGGCCCCGGCCCGCCCCCCCGCGCCGCCCGCCCCCGCGGGCCCGAACCGCTGCGCGCGCTCCCGCACCGAGCCGGCGGCGGGGGAGGGCGCGGGTCCCGCGGGGCGCGGCGCTGCGGGGACGGGCGCGGGGTCACCGGGCTGCGGCCGCCGCGCGCGTCCCCGCCGGGACCTGGCCCCGCACCGTGCGTGCGGCGCCCCGCGGTGCCCCATACACGCTGCCCCCCACCCTGGGGTGCCCCCTGCGATGCGTGCCGGCCCCGCCCCGGGATGCCACACTGTGCATACAGCACCCCCTCGGCTGCCCACACGACGCACAAAGCCCCCGGAGTGCCTGACCGTACATGCAATCCCTCACGTGCTCACGGGAGGTACCGCTGTCCCCCAGAGATCCCATCGCACAGCCAGCATTTCCCAGGGTGGCTGCAGCCCCTCAAAGCCTCTGCTCCCTCCCCCCACTGGTGCCGGATGCTCGTGCACATGGATAGGAAGGGAGGGAGGGAGGGATTCTGGGCAGGAAGCAAAAGGGCAGGTGGGCAGCCAGCAGCATCCTGCGCCATCCCAGCACTGTGGAGCTCCACACCTGCCCAGATTCCACCGGGGACATCCCACCACCGGGAAGCAGAGAATGGAGGCAGCGACCCCTAGGATCTTACCCGTGGGGCCAGCCAGGCAAGGAGAGGAGGGCACCAGCTCCCACCGGTGAGTATTCAGGCGAGCCGGGGTCCCTGTGTCCCCCTGGGTGGGCACTGATGCTTGGAAAGAGACAGGTCAGGGAAGAAATGACACAAAGCGGGCAGAGGGTGAGCACTGCACAGGTGCTTCTGGCATCCCCCCACCCCAGCACAGCACCCTGCAGTCTCCCTCCTCATCACTCCACACTCCCCAGAATTTAGTGCCAAAATCCATCAGAACTTTTTGGCTGCCCTGCACCCCAGGCATGGGCTGTCTTGCAATGCAAAACCACACTGCAGAGGGTAGGCTCTGTGCCCAGCAGTGCAGTGGGGGTCCCTGGGATCTGTGTTGAAAGGTTGGGATCACGCTTGTCCTCACCAGGCACTGGCACACCATCACCTCTGGAGTGTTGAAGGGCCCAGGTAGCTTAGCCTTCAAGGCTGCAGAAAGGGCTCTGCCCTTGGGCTGGAGTCATTGGTGCCCATGGAGGGAGGGGGCTCAGCTTCTCAGAATCCAGGTTTGAGCCCCTTGTGAGGCCGGGGGGTCACAGCCTGCACACTTGCCTCTACCCCAGGGCTGTGCCATGCTGCAACCCACCACCCCTAGCATCTTCCCAGGGCTTCTTCCTTCCCAGGAGCCAGCAGCCTCCAGGGGCTCCTCAGAAGGACAGCAACCTCCGCCTGTCAGGGCAGCACCCCTGACCCTTGAAGCAGAGAGCTGCTTTTTGGTTTTTCCCCATTTCCTCTCGGCACATCCACAGGGATGGTTTTCCTAACAGTATGAAGAGGGCAACTGCTGTCCACTGGAATCTCTCAGGACTGTGGGGAGGCCCTGCAGGGTGCTGGGCCCAGGGTGGGGGTGGTCAGAGCCAGCCATGCACAGCTCCCAGCCTTATTGGGACAAAGAATGCAAAAGGCCAGGGTTTGCTACTGGCACCGATTCCCTTTCATGGCCCTACAGTAACCCAGCCAGAGTGGGAGCCCCAGTAAACAGCCTGCCTGGCACCCAGTTCCCTGGCTGGGGTGGGCATTGCCACCACTTGGCTAGGCAGCAATTGGCCCCCAGCTAGGGGTGGCCTTTGACCTGGCCGTGTCCTGCACTCACATTCCTGGCCCAGCACACGTGGGCTGGAGTCATGTCCCCAGGGCTGCCTGGGATGCTGCAGGACAGGGGAGTGGGGGGGCTTTGGGGTGGCACCGCCCAGCTGGCAAGGGGCCACAGCTCTCCTGTCACCCCCCCCCTCAGGGCTACACTTACCCACTGATGGCCTTGCGTGTCTCCCACCTGGCCCCAGCACCTGGCAGTGCACCCCAACATGAAGCTGTGGGAGTAGAGGGGCAGAGCACTCAGCTGGGGGTTACATGCAGTACACCCATCAAATTAGCTTCACCCACAGACTGCCAGCCCTGGGCAAGGAGGGCAGCGGCAGCTGCCGCCAGTTTTGTACCTGGCTGCCAGCACTGGGCTGGCCCAGGGTGAGTTGCTCCCCTCTGGGGCTTTGTGCCACACTGGGCTCTGGGGCGCTGGCAGGGCTGCCCAGGTTCCCTTCTTTCCAGGCTGCTGGGGGCTGCCCCAGGGGCAGACCCTGCTGCAGGTCCTCACCACCATCCTCAGGCTCTGGACTGGGCTCTGAGGCTGGCTGCAGCTCCAGGAGCATGAGGGTCCCTGAAACCACAGCTGTGGATGAAAAGAGACTGTTCAGGGAGCCTGCAGTTGCCTGCAATGGACCCTGCAGCCCCTCCAGGCACCCGGTTACCCTGCCCACCTTTGTGAGATAGTATTGCTCTCCATCGTCCTGCATCTGGCCAGGCACAGCTCTGGCCCCAGGCACACAACCCACATAGGATTCTGCCACGGACATTTGTGGGGACTCACCCTGAGCACTGGGTTTCTGAGGGTCTCCTGCCTGCTGGCTGCACAGCTCCTGCATCCCAGCTGGGACATGCTCCTCCTCCACCACATCCTCTCGCCTGGGGGCCTGGGGGGAGTAGAACCAGCCCTGCTCCAGTCTCTCACTGGGCCACCATGGCCCATTCTAGCCAGGGATGCATAGGCTGTGGACTCTTCCCATGCTATCCAGGTCCCTGCCTGCATGCTGCTGGGAATTGACAAGCACAGGAGTCACAAGAGGCTCACAGGGGGACAAGTGTCCCCACACCCTGCTGCATCCTGTGGGCAGGGCAGGAGACAGTGTCTAGTGAAGGGGGACACCAAACCTCCCCCATGCCTGCAGCCCAGGCACTCTAGGGCTCCATGATGCAGGGAACATCCAGTTTTACATTACCCTGTCCTTGTCCGTAGCACCTGCAGCTCTGCTTGGCAAATGATGAAATATTCTGGACATAGGACCACACACAGGTGACAGATCTGTCTCTGACATAAGTCTGAGCAGGCCTAGGGTGTCCTAGTATCAGGTAGGGAACAAGGTGCCAGTCCTGGCTGTGCCAGTGCCTCTAGCAGCCCCATGACTCTAGGGCAGGGGGAGGTGAAGAGGGGCCCATACCCTGAGGGGGCATAGGAGAGCCAGGCCTCAAACCCAAGAATGGAAATGGCCAGATCGAAATCAGCCAGATCAAGCAGAACAGCCCTCTCAGCTGCTCAGTGATGTCTCAGCCCAGCCAGGGCTTGGGGGCAGCATGCCAGCACATCCAGATGAGGAGGCAGACAGTGCTGAAAGGTGGAACAAGGCCACATCCCTTTGGCAATCTCCTGCTACAGCTCTGGGGCAGGTGGAGGAAGAAGCAGGACTGGACAGAGGCAGATGGGAGAACCCACACCTTCTTTCCTGGCTGTGAGTACACCCATTGCTTCTCCTCTTCTCACCCTCAAAGGACAACCCCACAGGGTTGGATGCAGAGGTCTCCTACCACCACAGAGTCTCTGCAGTGTCACCCTTGCTGCACCGAAAACCCCAGTTTGTGTTCATTCCTTCCAGTTCTGCCCACCAGCTTATCCCTCCCCCATCGAGAAAGCTCCCAGCAGCTTCACTCCAGAATGAGCCCTGGCCCCTCGAAGGCTGTGAGGAACAACCATCATGAGAAGGGGGACAGGGAATCGAGGTTTCTACCCACGCAAGGGAACTGCTGCAGGAGAGATGAATAGCTGTTGCCTCCAAAGAGCCCCATCCCCAAGAACTGGAGCAGAGATGGGTGTACCAGCTGCACCAAGGGGCTCCCGGATCCCCACCAGGTAGCATCCTTGGGAGAAGCTCAAGGGGCACCCTGGCCTGAAGACCCAGCCCCAGCTCACCACTGCTGGGGCCACACTGGCACAGCCCAGCTGTGTTTCCCTGTCCCCAAAGACTCCAGCCTCACCTATGGACAGGCAAGTACAACTTGCCCAGGGCTCTGTGCTCCAGACAGGCTGGCACAGGAAAGGGTGAAATCTTGAACAGTTCCACCCCCTGCAGTGCTCTACATACTCACCGCTGAGCCTTTGGGCTCCTGGGCAGGGGCCTGCTCCACAGCATCCTCATATCCACTCTCCTCTGGCCCAGCCAGTGCTGGCTCTGCATCATCCTGCTGGCTGCTCTCCCCGCTCTTGTCTGTGTCTGGAGGTTTGGTGCTGCCTTCAACACAGCTTTCTTCACTCCCAGTAAGGGCTGGTGTTTCAGCATTGTCCCTCTGGACAATTTTAATTTCCCCAGGCACAGTGCGGGGCTTGCTGTCATCCCTTCGGCTGCTCTGCACATTCCCAGCCAGGGTCGCGGCTGGGTGGGAGCAAAGATGGTTTTCAGGAAGGAGCTGCCCACATCTCACACTTTCCGGGACTTCCCCCCCAGAACAAGGGAATGGTGCCTCACCTTCAATCTCCTCAGCCCGCAGCTTACGGATGGCAGCTCGGATCAGCTTGCGCTCCTCATACTCACCCGCTGCCCGCAGCTATAAGAGGAAAGGACCCAGGAAAGCCCCAGCACAGGGTGACCCATGATCAGCCCCACCACAAGTTCCACCCCAGCAAATGGTCTGCCCTGGCACACAGTCACTCACCAGTTTTGTCAGTTCCTCCACACTGGTGATAGCTTCAAGCTGCTCAGACAAGGCAGCCAGGGCTGCCTGCTGCTGCTCTTCCAGGCGCTGGGACCTGAGCAGGGTGAGAGGGGTGGCCATCTGGGGGCTGTCATGGGTGCTTGCGAGCAAAGTCCCCTTGTGGGCAGGTGGCAGATCCAGGCAAGAAGCCCCACCATGCACCAAGCTGCTCTGTGCCAGGCTGTTCCCACCCTCACGTTCACTCAAATCTGTCACAACCATAGTGGGGCCAGGTACCACAGCCCCAATGTCCCAGGGCAGAGGCAGGGAATGACACCCCAGCTCACAACAGGACTCACTGTGGCCAGTTCTCCTTGTTGTCCTGTCGGTGGCTGCTGCGTTCTGGGCGGAAGCGCTTGGATGCCAACGTCTCCTCGTCCCGCTCCAACTCCTGCCGCTGCAGTTCCCGGATAGCCGAGCGGATGCGGCGCCGCTCAGCCAGGTCCAGTGTGGCCTCCAGCTGGGTGCACAAGGCAGGGCTCAGCACTGGCTCTGGCCACTGAGCCCTCATCTCGGCCCTGGTGCTGCCCTCTGCCACACTGCCATGAGCTGCCCACACTCTGGACAAAGGCGCTGTCTGTGTGTGGCACCCACGTGCCCAGTGCATGCTGCCCGGCACTGCCAGGCCCTGCGGGAGGTGGGCATAGCTCCCCTGAGGCAGGATGCTGGAATCAGCCATGGTGAGGAGGGGCTGTCATTGTAGCACTGAGACCTCCGGGCATGTAAAGGTCAAAGTGATGAGCATGGAAAATGAACGCCCACCAGTGGTCCTGCTGTCTGCAAGGATTGGTGCTCTGCCCCTCCCAGTACCACCAGCTCTGGAATGAGTCCTCCTACCCATGCCAGCTCCTCCAGCAGCGAAGGGACAGGAGAGCTCATTCTCTTCTCATCCCATGTTCCCCAGGGGGCACTGGGTGAAAGGACTCCAGCATCCCACCTAGGACTCATCTTGTCCACCCTGCAGCCCTCCCCACCCTCATTCACTGCTAGCAGATGGTAGGCGGCTCTTGGAACCAAATCCATGAGTGGGATCTGTCCTAAATCCAAGTCCAACCCTTTATGTGTGGGAAGTACAGCCGCAACTGCCCCACAAATGTCCCTCATGAACATCTCACAGGCACTCCAGGTGCTCCTCAGCCCACCCAAGGCCAGCACCTGGCATCGGCATGCAGAGCTGCTCCCCCTCTTCCAGATCAGGTCACAGCCCAGCCCCACTACCAGCTCGAGTTTTTCCAGAGGGCTATGAACACACCTCCTGATGTTCAAGGGGCAGAAGGCAGCCAGATCTGCAGTGAAAGGTCAGCCAGGGCAGGCATGGCCCTGCTATCCTCACACTGTCCTGCTGTAGGACATCAACACTGCCCTGACATCAGGAACCCAGGAGGTGATTTCCCATGGAGCTTGTCAAAAATAAACCCAGTGACCAACAGCAGCTGCTGTCAGCATCAAGCTCCATTGCACTGGGAGAAGCCATGGCTGTGCCATAGGACAAGCACATCAGTCCCTTCCCTTCCTGTCCCATGGGCCACTGACAGGCCACCCAGCCAGGCTCTCTGGGTTCCGCTGCAGCAGGGATCCAGGGTCAGTCCCTTGACTGGACCTAAATTAAGCCACACGGGGGTCCCCACACCACTGCCTGTATGCAGACTTCTCTGCAGAGAAGCTATCTTTCCTGAGAAGCTACTGCCCTTTGCCCTCTCTGCTTTGGTGATATGGGAAGGAATTCCCATCTTAGTGAAGCCAGCAAGCACAGAGCAGGCACAGAGATGCCATGTGCCACCCCAGCAGCAGCCAAAACTGCGGTCCTCCAACCCTTGCCAGTCACAAAGCCCAACAGGGAGCATTATCCTTCCCCAACTGAGAAGATACCAGTGGCCAGGACTACCAACTCCTAGGGCAAGCCAACTCTAAAAACACACATAACCTCTGGGAGAGCTGCCTGGAGCCAGGGTGCTCTTTCCTTCCCACCTCAGCAGCGCCCACTAGGCCAGCAGGCAGTACCATCCCTTCCAGCATCCCAACTAGAGCTGAGACCTGCAGCACGCTCTGGGCTTTTATCCAGGGCAGGCACCTCTGCCATCACAAGGCCAGGGAAGCAGCTGGGAAGAGCATGAGCCATGGCACTACCAGAGCAGTGGAGGGTGTGGGCCTCTCATTTTCAGTCTACCCTGGATGGCTGCCGGCATCCCAAGGATGCCACTGCAGTGGGGACAACTACTACCAGGACAAAGGCATGGTCCAGCAGCAATGTCAGCCAGCCAGGAGACCTGGCTCTCTGCAAACAGGGCAGCATTAATGGGCTGGGAAGTGGTGGAATTTGGTTCAGCTCAAAATGAGGGGCTGGAGGCAGAACTTTGTGGTAAGGACAACTATTCCTGCAGCCATCCAAAGGCTCTGAGGACAGGAAAACAGTCCTCAACTGCATATTGGGTGGCCAAGGCCTTGGCCCTTCCCTAAATAAGCTGCTGGCAGTGAGTGGCTTGGCCCCAGCAGCTGGGTCAGGGCAGTGGGGAAGGTGGGGAGAGAGGAGAAGGGGCATGTGCACAGCAGCTGCAGAAGTTGTGAGTGCCAGGAAAGGACATAATGGGACACCAGCACTGCAGGCCCTGGTGCAGGAACATGCTGGCACCAGTGTGTGCTGTGTGGCACCCACCTGCCAGCTCTCGGGTCTGCCCTACCCAGGAGGCTCCAGCTGGGACTTGACCTGCACTCAGGTCCTGAAAGGCTTCTCCCCACAGGAGAAAATGCCTTATTCCAAGCCCACATCAGCAGGGAGCTGGGATGAGGCAAATGAGCAGCTTTGGCAAATGAGCAGTAGCAGGGGTAAGCATGACGGAAACCACAACAGCTGCAAAGGGACCAAGGGGCCCAACCCTGCCCTTCCTGAGCACAGGAAGGCTCAGGGATTGGCACATGCCGGGGTCCCATGGGCCCTGCCCAGCTGCCAGCAAATTAATGGTTCCAAGAAAACACCCCCCTCAGCACACAGACTGCCTTTGTGAAAGGGCACTGGCACAGCACCCATAGGCTGCTTCCCCACTGGTGCCCAACACAGCAGTGCTCAGAGCCCTGATGCAGTGGGCAGCTCCTCCAGGAGGGCTGCAATTAGCCTGGCATCCATCTGGTTCTTTGGAGTGCCGCAGCACACAGCAATTTGGAGGATGGAGCATGGCCACGGGGAAACTGCTTTGAGACATCGGATGAGCCTGGCACATTGAGCACCTCCTACAGCCCCAAGCTTCACTGTCACCTTTGGAAAGAGCCATGGGGAGCATGGCTGCCCCCCGGGCAGAGGAAAGCAGGAAGGACACTGGATGACAGGGACATGGCAGGGATGCAGTGGCCACTTCTCAGGGCCATTGACGATTTGCCAAAGGCTACTGGGTATAAGAGGAAGGGGATTGTGGGACTCAGACTCAGTCTAAGAGAGAAACAGGAGTTTCTAGCCAGGCAGATGCTTGGGAAAGAGTTGGAAAAGAATGTAAATAATTCTTTATCTCTCTTGTTTTTCACATTGTTTATAGGTAAGTTCTATCACTGTGCATCAAGCACTTTGCACCAATGCTGTGGGTTGTTTTTGCTTCAGAACCAACGGAATTGGTCCTCACAAAGCTATGTATAAAAGATCAGTGTATTTTGAATAAATTGGAGTTTCATTTTCACCAGCCTTCTGATCTGGTCAGAGTCTCTTCATTCCCATCCTGCCTCGACAGTGACAGGGGATCTCATGGCAGCAACTTTCCTAGCTCAAGCCTGCCCTGCCTTTGTCTCCAAAGGTATTTATATCCTCCTTAATCAACCAGACTAAGAACTGGAGGGGCTGAGAGAGGGAAGCACTCCTCAGCCCAAAGCTGGCAGACCTCAGCCCGGAGCTCAGTACAGCTGTGAGCACTCAAACAATCTCTTGCTTCTGGACATCCACCTAAGGGCCACCTTGCAGTAGCACCCACCCCATCCCCCACCGCTCCCTCCTCCAGCTTCTTTAAGCCCTTGGTCACCTTTATGCTGCACCATTGGTTCATCACAACTGGCCTCCCTGAGGCTGAGATACCAGTGGGCAGCTGGAGAAGGAATCATATGGATGCCTATGGCAGGAGTTGCAGGGCAGCGGCTTCCTGACAGCTCCCAGCCCAGCCAGCACAGGAGTGAGGGGACTGCAGGGACCTCAAGTCCCCCAGCCTCCTTCTTCCAATTTCCCTGGGGACATCAGATGCTGCTGCCTAGGTGTCACTTGGGAGAAATGAAGAGAAGCAAGGCAGAGTGGAGAGCTGGGGAGAGCAGAGAAGAAGGGAGGAAGTGGTGGGAGAGGCAGTTTTCCCTTATATGGACTAATCCTCTTCCAGCTGAGTGGAGCCAAAAACCTAACCAGAAGAAAAAGAATTCCTTCCCTGCCTCACGTCAGCTCAGATGAGGCTTTTCCCAGCCTGTGCCACAAAGCACAGGGAAATGTGGGTCACAAGCACAGTGCTTTGGGGAGGCAAAGCCTCAGCATGTCAAAGAAAAAGCATCCATAGAAGCAGTGCTCACTGCAGGATGAGATCCACCTTCCTGGGCTGGCCAGACACTAGAAACCCACTGCTCTTGAGGCTCCATTTCAGATCAGAGACCTCAGATGGGACATGGCAGAGCTGGAGCACTGTCAAGATGGGATGACACCCTGACCACCCACCCCCATACCTCTGGATGGATAATCCACTGGCCCCGACATCACCCCACGAGAAGCCAGTGGGCTCCTCAGCTCGAACCACGGGCAGGTCTGCGTGTCGTCACTCAGAGCTGCCTGATGGTTGCAGGACAAAGGCTCAACCGGGGATCCACTGCACAGCCCTCACTTCCCGCCGGCATCCCGACTCTTTCCTGTTCCAGCAGACCTGCCTTCCTGGCTGACTCAGCTTCCTGCTGTGACTATTGCCCATCTCGTGCCCGGGCCACCCCGGCTCAAGCCCCGGGGCAGTCAGCACAGCCCTAGCCCCGGGCTGGGGGTCCCTGGGGCTGCCCAAAGCCGGGCAGTTGTAGGGGCTTCCCAGGACACCAGACCTGGCTGAGTATCTTGTGTCCCGTGTTCGGAACACGAAGGCCCTCGTCCCCCAGAGCCCACCGGCCGCGGCAGCGCACGGCTCTCGCTCCAGGGGCAGCGTTCCGGCCGGTGCTCCAGAAAGAGGGGGTGGGATGCAAAGCCATTCGGGCAGAGCCCGGGAAGCGCGCCTGGCACTGCGCCAGCCCCGGCAGCGCGGGAGCCCGCAAGGGGAGAGCGGGGAGCAGGGAACTGTGCCAGCCTCGGGGGACGATTCCCCGGGATCCGCCGGCTGAGAAGATGGAGCCGGGAAAGGCGGTACGGCCAGGCGCGGTTGCGAGCCAAGGGCCAAAAGCGGCCAGAGCAGGGGAGCCAGAGCTTTCGGAATCACCAGAGCTCGTGCTGGAGCTCACCCCGGCCCGGAGCCCGACCCGGGCCAGCGCGGGCCCCTCCAGGTGCTGCTGCCTGGGATCAGCGCTGGGTCTCCAGCGCTACATCCGCTCCCAGACATGGCTCTGAAATCCCTCGGCCGAGCGACAGACCCGAAGCCCGCCCGGTCCCATTCTGCCCGCGCCTTAGACAGCAGCCCCTGGCCCGGGGGGGGTTCAAGGAGCCGAGGCACCTCCAGGCATGATCCGCCCTCGGAACCGCCGCGAGCGTATCCCGAGCCCCGGAGCAGCCGGGGACTCACCAGCTTCCGCAGCGCTCCCTCGTCCATCCCGAGGAGGTTCTCCTGGGACATCCTGCCCGTCGGGCCCGCGCTGCTGCGGCCGGGACTCGAGACAACAAAGCACGGCCGGGGCAGCGCGGCCCTGCGCCGGGTTCGACTGCGCTCCCGCCCCGCCCCGCTTCCTCCCTTCCCGGCTCCGCTCCGCTCCCGTTCGTGCTCCCAACAGCGCCGCAGCTCCGCCGCTTCCCGCCGCCTCCTATCGCCCCGCCTCGCCCCGCCGCCGCCAACACGGCCCGGCGCCGCCCCGCCGGACCTGCGGCTCCCATATCCCGGTGCCCAGCCCTGTCCCGGCACCGTGCACCGGCAGCCGTGCTGTGCCGTGCCGCTCCGGACTCACGCCTGTCCCAGACCCTATGCCGGTGCCGGTGTAGCGGAACTCGAGCCTGGCTCCCTTGGGATGGCACTCCAGGGTGTATCGCTGCCCGCAGAGTGTCCCCGAGCCCAGCGGGGCCGCCCGGACTCCCCACCCGCAGGAGCTGCTGCGCCCCTCGGCTGGCGGGATGCGGGGCAGAGAGCCACCAGCACCTCCTGCCCAGAGGCCCTCCCCCACCGGCCTTGGGGGATCACACCGTGGGATGCCCCTGCATGCTCTGCGGAGCTGTTTGAGCTGCTTCTTGACACCGCTGCAGGATTAATGCCCAGGGCACCTCCAAAAACTTGTGAGGGCTCCCTGGGGATGTGTTGTGCCCCCCACATAGTCCTGTTGCTTGCTCCAACTCAGAAGCTGCTTGTGGTGTCCTTGTCCTTACATCCTGTTCCAGGTCCTAGAAGGCAGTGCAGGGACAGCCAAGCCCTGGTGTCTCACTGTCGAGAGGTTTCCCCTGGAGACCCCAAGCTCCATACATGCAGTTGAAGTGCAGCCCTGCTCTGTAGAGGACAAATTTGTTGGGGCTCAATCTTGTTTCTGGGCAAAGGCCAGAAGTACTCCCTGGAGAGGACTAAGTACCTGAGGTACTGTGGGCTCTGCAAAGCAGGCAGCTGCCATCTGCCTCCAGCTCCTAGGTGAGGGGGAGAGGTGCTGATCCCTGCCTTGTCCAGCAACCCAGAGACCAAGGGGCTTCTCCAGAGAAGGTCACGGAGATTAAGTTCACTGCTTTTCTGGGAGTTCCCAGCATTCTGGGAAGATGGGTGGGATGGAGCAGGATCACAGCATCATCTGACACAGGCAAGAACCCACCACGGTAGGCTAGAAAGACGGGGTGTGGTAGAAGTGCCTAGAAGGTTCAGCAGTTTCCATACTGGGCATGTTGGTTCACATCAGGCCCATTTGGCAGGGTGGGTCTCCAGCAGCACTGGCATCCCAGAGCACTCTGCTCCCCTACGTTCCTCAGCAGCTCTCCACTCTCCAGGCCTGAACAGCATTGGGCTCCACTGCAGCATGACAGCCCCTGCCCAAGCAACTAAAGCCAACCCCTCCAAGCACTGTGCCATCTAACATAACATCACCCTCTGCCAGTCTCAGCAGCAACATCATCTTCACTTGCAAGATGATCCTTGCATGTCTGCCACAGAGCTGCCACACAGGGATCTGCCCTGCCCTCCATCTCTGCTGTCACACAGCCCCTCAGGGACCAGGCACCAGCACACTCAGGGGTCTGCATCACTTGCAGCTCTGCTGTCACGTGGCAACAGGCACTGCCACATATCCAGCTCCTGGCTTTCAGGCAGCACAGATGACAGCAACTCATCTGCCTTTGAAGTATGGGGGGGACCCCACTACCAACCTTCAGCTATTGAAGTTACATCAGGTTTGTTCCCCAGCCCTTCTGCCAGCAGCAGCACTGGGCAGGGCAATGGATACTGATGTGTGGCTGGCATCATGGATGGTGTCTTGGTTTGACAAGACAGGAGTCTGTGAAGGAGGGCAAAAGCCTCCCGTGCAATGGAGAAGGTAAACCCCCTCTGTTGCAGAGGATAGATAGATATGATTGTTATCTTAGCTAGCCGAATGTCACTTCTACCCTTGGATGAATCCTGGAGTGAAATGGACT